AACATAGGAGCACCTAAATATGTACAGCAAATCTAATACGTTAAGGGAGAGATCGACAGCAATACAGTCGTAGTAGGGGATTTTAACACCCCACTGACATCACTGGATAGATCTTCCAGATGATAAATCAACAAGGTAACAGCCACCTTAAATGACACACTGATCAGATGGATTTAATTGATATTTACAGAACATTTCATCTCAAAGCAGAAGATGACACATTCTTCTCAAGTGTACATGGAGCATTCTCAAAGACAGACCACATGTTAGGACACAAAATAAATCTTAATAAATTCAAGAAGATTGAAATAATCTCAAGCATCTTCTCTGACCACAATGGTATGAAACTAGAAATCAACCACAATAAAAAACTGAAAAACTTTCAAACACATGGAGGCTAAATAACATGTTATTAAACAATGAATGGGTTAACAATGAGATCAAGGAAGACATCAAGTTACCTGGAAACAAATGAAAATGAACACATAACAACACAAAATCTACGGGACACAGAGAAAGCAACCCTCAGAGGGAAGTTTGTAGCATTACGGGCTTACCTTGAGAAGCAGGAAAAATCTTAAATAATCTAACCCTACACCTAAAAGAACTAGAAAAGGAACAACAAACAAAGCCCAGAGGAAGTAGAAGGAAGGAAATAATAAAGATCAAAGCAGAGTGGAAATAAATGACATAGAGACTAAAAAAACAATACAAAAGATCAAAGAAACCAAGAGCCGGTTCTTTGAAAAGATAAACAAGATTGATGAACCTTTAACCAGGCTCATCAACAAAAAACAGAGGACCCTCCCCTCAAAAAAAATCAGAAATGAAAGAGGAGAAGTAACAACTGACACCACAGAATTACAAAGGATTATAAGAAAATACTATGAACAACCATATGCCAACAAATTGGACAACCTGGGTGAAATGGACAAATTCTTAGAAATACACAATCTTCCAAAACTCAATCAGGAGGAATCAGAAAACCTGAATAGACTGATTACAACTAATGACATCGAAACAGTAATAAAAAATTCCTAGCAAACAAAAGTCCTAGAATGGATGGCTTCACAGGCAAATTTTACCGAACATTCAAAGATTTACTAACACCTCTCCTTCTCAAACTATTCTAAAAAATTCAAGAGGGAAGACTTTCAAGCTCTTTGTATGAGACCAGCATTATTTTAATTCCAAAACCACATAAAGACACTACAAAGAAAGAAAATTATAGGCCAGTAGCCCTGATGAACATAGATGCTAAAATCTTGAACAAAATATTAGCAAACCAGATCCAGCAATATGTTAAAAAGATCATACACCACGACCAAGTGGGATTTATTTGGGGATATAAGCTTGGTAGAATATTCACAAATCAATAAACATGATACAGACCTGGCTGGTGCATTGGCCTGTGCATCAAAGGGTCTCGGGTTTGATTCCCAGTCAAGGGCACATGCCTGGGTTGCAGGTTCAATGCTGGGGTGGAGGGGTGGGTGGGGGAGTCAACCAATCGATGTGTCTCTCTCAAGTGTCTCTCTCACATTGATGTTTCTCTCTCTCTCTCAGTGTCTCCCCCCCTTCCATGCTCTCTAAAAATAAATAAATGAACAAATAAATAAACATGATATATCACATAAACAAAATGAAGGACAAAAATCATATAATCATATCAATAGATGCAGGAAAAGCATTTGATAAAATCTAGCACCCATTTATGATAAAAACTCTCAAAAAAGTGGGAATAGAGGGATCATACCTGAACATAATAAATGCCATATATGGCAAACTCACAGCCAACATCATACTCAATAGGCAAAAACTAAAAACATTTCCCCTAAGAACAGGAACAAGACAGGGTTGTCCACTCTCACCACTCTTATTCAACATAATACTGGAAGTCCTAGCCACAGCGATCAGACAAGAAGAAGAAATAAAAGGCATTCAAATTGGAAAGGAGGAAGTAAAACTGTCATTATTTGTAGATGACATGATACTGAACCTAAAAAACCCTAATGACTCCACACACAAAAAACTACTAGATCTAATAAATGTATTCAGGAAAGTACAGGATACAAAATTAATACTGGTGGCATTTTTATACATTAATAATGAACTATCAGAAAGAGAAACTGAGAAAACAATCCCATTTACTATTGCAACAACAAAGAAATAAGGTACCTAGGAATAAATTTAACCAAGGAGGTAAAAGATCTGTACTCGTATAATTACAGGACACTGAAGAAAGAAATTAAGAACTGTACAAAAAAAAGAAGCATATATTGGGTTCATGGATTGGAAGAATTAATATCATTAAAATATCCATACGACCCAATGCAATTCCTATTAAAATATCAATCACATATTTCACAGATCTAGAACAAATATTCCAAAAATATACATTCCAAAAGACCTCAAATAGCCTCAGCAATCTTGAGAAAGAAGAACACAGTTGGAAGTTCCACACTACCTGATATCAAACAATACTACAAGGCCTTTGTAATCAGAATAGCCTGGTACTGGCACAAGAACAGGCATATAAATCAATAGAACAGAACAGAGAGCCCAGAAATAAACTCATGTCTTTATAGTCCATTAATATTTGACAAAGGAGGCAAGAGCATATAATAGAATGGTGTGGAAAATGTGAAGCCTGGGATTGTTCTCTCTGCCCATGGCTTTTTGGGGTTGCCAAGTTGAGGAGGAGCAGAAAGCGCTCACCTGTAGAGGAGGCAGAGATTAGTCACATGGGCAGTGTCCTCCCGGTATCTGATTAAGTCCACTTAAGACACAGAGGACCCGTCTTTTGTTCTAAGAAAAGGAACATCACAGAGTTCCTGTACTAGAGAGTGTTTCCTGCCAGATGGGAGCTGGGATTCATAGCTCCTGTTTCTACAGGGCGTGCTAATCGGATGAGGCATCTGACCGATCGTCAGATTTCTAACTTCTACATTCTGTTCAAGTTCAGATATGTCTGTGGAAGGCAGGAAAATACAGGCTTTAAAAAGTCAGGCTTGTCCGTTTCTTGGGTTTCCAGGAAACTGCGACTTCGCTTCTGAAACTGATTCAGTGCTGCTTCCTCCTGGACGTGTGTTCTGCGCCACCTTGTGGGTACATTGGGAACTGCACCCCCCGCTTCCCAGGGCTCAGAGAACCACCTACTGTACCCTCTCCAGCTGAGAAGGTGGGAGGGGGCTGCCACACCCCCTGATCCTTGAAGTAAAAAGCAGATTCCAGGCTTGCCCAAAGGAGGACCAGCACAGAACAGAATGATGATGATGAGAGTGGTACTATTCCCTGCTACTGTGCACTGCTTCATGTCACCTATAACTGTCATAGCCCATAAAACTGTGCACTGCAAATGGAGATGGGACAAGGCCTGCACTGCATCTCAGATCAGGTGCTTTTATAAGAATAAAATACCAAGACTATTTTTCTTTTCTTTTTTTCCCCAGAGGGAGCAAGAAAATGGGAAATTAAGGTTGGCAGCAGCTCCTTCCTGACTTTGCAGCACTTCTGCTCTGTGGTTACTGAGCTGGAGGGGGGAGCTCTTGGCACAGGAGCAGAGCAGGGGCAGGTTTTCCATAACATTCACTGCAGCTCATCTTAGATGTAAAGACAAGCCCAGAAACAGCTTAAGGCACAGAGGTGCCGCCCCTAGGCTTGCATCTGGCTTGGTAAGTCGCCTTAGGCATCCAGCTTTTGCAGGCTGTGTGAGAACAGCTCACTGAAGGTTGTGTTGGGTGTGGATAGAACAGGAGCTGCCGTTTCTCACAGCCCTGCTTTCCAATGTGCCTTTCTTCACATACCAGCTGTGTGACCTTGGGCACCTGCCTGTGACAATCAATCTTCTAGTCTATGAATTGGGGATAAGAATAGGACCTGCCTCCTGAGCGTCTTGGAGTATTTAATGAGATATAGCCCCAGGCTTGGCTCTTGGCTGACTCTCATAACTGGTCCATGAGAATGAGCAGTGTGTGCTGAAGTTCCCTGGGCCCTCTAACATCTGATAGGAAGGACTGCATGTGGCTGTGGTCATGGAGGTGATTAAAATAGTAGCTGGTCAAGGGTATCTGTTCAGTCAAAACAAGCCAAACTAAGTCACTGTGTCTGAGGAGGTAAGATATGAACCACAGCATGCTGAAGGAGGGGTGCAGTTACAGAAACGTGCCTATCGGTGTGAGGCCAGGGACCAGGGTCTGGTGGCCTTGCCCTCAGCTCTCATGCAGGCACATGTCCAGGAGGCAGTGGTGGGGCGGGCCTCTCAGCCTCCAGTGATGAGTGGCTCTGACAGTCTCCCCTTTAAGAGAGAAGTCAGCAGAACCACTGCGTGCTGTCTGGCTGGGATGGGTACTGTGTGTGCAGGTTAGCCAGCGGAGTGAATGTGGCTCTTCCAAAAGTCACCTTAGGGGACACAGGATTTAACAGCAAAACCTGAAGACAGCCGTTTGTCATTTCTGTTCATGTTCCATTAAAGATCCTAAGGTTTGGAGTGTGTGTCTAGCATTTCTAGAGGTTGCCATCACCTCATAAGAGAAGAAAATATACATTTATTATCTACCATGTGCCAGGCACTGTGCTAGGGAGTTTTAGACACTTAATCCTCTCAGCAGCCTTGTGAAGTAGGAATTATTTCACCCATTTTACAGGTGAGGAAACTAAAGTAGTGAGGTGACTAGTGAGAAAGCGGCCAGGGTCAGGGTGGAGGCAGGATCATCTCAGCAGTCTTGCATCTTTCCGTCCCTGCAGCACCAGGCCCAGTGCCCTGGACTGAGCAAGAGCTTAGCAAATGCCTGTGAGTCAGGAATGGAAGGATTTGTGTGCTAAAGAGGCATTCGGATACACAGGCGGGCACCGCAGCGGGCTCTGTAAGACCAGCTGTGTAGAGCAGTGGCTGGCAAGTCATCAGCTCAGAATTCACTGTCATCTGGCCAGTGGCCTGCTGGCCTGCAGCCAGTCATGTACAAGGGCTGATTTGATCAGCTTTGGCCCTTTTATTCTAGGCAACCCACCTTCCAAAGAGGTGCCGGCTGGGAACTACCCATTCATAGTCACCTCCGATGACGGACGGAAGGTTCCCGTGGTCCAGGCCTACGCATTTGGCAAATACTTAGGCTATCTGAAGGTTGAGTTTGATGCAAAAGGAAATGTCATCACTTCGCACGGAAACCCCATTCTTCTCAACAGCAGCATTCCTGAAGGTAATTGGAACTCAGGGTGGCGTCCCACTAATCCAAACATTAGATGGCTGAATCTTTTCCTCCCTTTTTTTATTAATATTTCAGGACAAGACTATAATACTTTTTAAGAACTGGGCTTCTCCCTGAGTTTATCATTTTCACGGATAAAGAGATTTAAAACACACCCAAATGCCACAAGTCCCCATTTGCATCTTCAAGTCCTTTTAGCATCAGACACTGTCACTCACTACCTCTCGTGCTTTTTCAAGCTTTGCCCTGGCATGGGAAAGCCACTGTCAGCTCGTGTGCAGAGGAGAGCTGACGACTGAAGCAGAGGGGTTCACACTGTGCAGAGCTGGGCTCCAGCCCTGGCCCCAATCCCAGCAGCAGTGTGCCTGGGGCAAGTGGCCCAGTCTCCTGGGCTTCAGTTTCTTTATTTATCAAATGAGGGAATGTCTTTCTCCCTTTTTTGTCTGGGATACAGAGTAAAAATACATTTTATGTCACCCATTTTCATATAGTATATACATGAACACATGCCTACGCTTCTCCTCACCTGCATCTACCGCTTAACGTGATCAGATCAGGGAAGGATGGGCAGTGAGGGGCCACAGTGTCCTGAAGGGCGATGGTCACAGCACAGACCTCTCAATAGCCAGAGGGAGGGGCCGGCACCGCACAGAGAGCAGGGCCTCAGCAGGCCTTTGTACTTGCCCTTGGGCCTTTCATCACCCACCAGAACCACCAGCACTATCCCAGGTGGGACAACAGGTACTTATAGAGATGTGAACTGATGTTCAGATACTCAGCATGTCTTCAAATTATGATTCATTCTGGGTTTTAGTACCAGGAAAGAGAATAGAGGGCTCCTAAGGAAATCTCATAGTCAAAACAAAATGTACATAAATACAGTAAAGAAGTGTATACTCACACAGGTAGGCGAAATGATGTTTGATTCCTTCCTCAAAATTTAGGCCAGTGTGAGATGGGCTTTAACTACAGACTGATTTTTTTTTTTGGTTATCTATGTATTTTGCTTTCTTCTAGATAAAAACATAAAAGCAGACATTAACAAATGGCGGATAAAATTAGATAATTATTCTTCCCAGGAATTGGGGAAAACAGTTGTCTACCTGGATGGCTCCAGTCAGTCATGCCGCTTCAGAGAGTGCAACATGGGCAACCTGATTTGTGACGCTATGGTGAGTGGGCCACAGGAGGCAAGGCCTGGGCCAGGGGAGGGGCAGGAGGGGGAAGAATGGAGGGAGGAAAGATGCAAGGAGGACAACCTGACAGTTACAGAAATGAGCATTTAAAACAAAATTAGTGCCCAGACAAAAGCTGGGCATGGATTCGTACCAAGCACCTTGGGAAGGTGTGGAACTAGACCAGCTGACCATCATTTTGACTGGCAAGAACCGAAGCCTTTATTGTAAGGTATTCATTTTCGGGTGTCTGAATTTTGGGTGTTGCTTTTCCTGTAAGATCTGAATACACAAACTCTCCTGCTCTGAAGATGTAGACATAGCAGATCAAACACACCTGCCTGGGCCTAACTTGGCCAGACTGTATTTCCCTGGTCTGAGCTCTTGGCTCCAGAGAACTAGGTCTCGTGGGACTGGAACCTCCTTCACAAGTAGAAAATGACAACACACATGTATAGTGATAAGTCTTGCGGCTGAGCAAGATCACCCGTGAAAAGCACCCCTCTGTCCATCTGTCTGTGGGCAGACTGCGACAGCAGCCTTCTGGGGCCTATGCTGAGCCAAGGTCTCCCCGGTCAGGCTCAGAGCCCACCCCCAGGGGGCCCTTTCTTGGTCTGTGCTCTGCATGGTGCCTTGGACATAGCCACACCCAATAAACGTCTGCCAAATAAATGACAGTGTTCACACTTTCCAAGGTAAGATCCATGCTGCAGGGGAAGTAGCTGAAGAGACTCAAGTATGTGTGATGTTTAGAGGAAGGTCCTGGGGGAAAAGCCCCCGACTGTAAGCAGTGCTTACCTCTCCGTTAGGAGACTGGGGCAAGAGTAAGAAAACGTGAGGTTTTGCACTAATTTTTTTTTCCAAATGAGAATGTACTAATTTTATTTCTTGTAACTTAACATATATTTTGTAAAAGAAAAGTAAGAATGCAGCGGGTTCTCCCCAGTTTCAGGAGGCTGTCTCTGGGCCTTCAAAATGGCCAGTGTGTGAATTGGCTGGGGATGCAGACCTGCAGGCCAGGGTTCTTGTTGGTCCCAGGCCTGGAGTTAAAAGGCTTTCAGGTCCCACCTTCAGGAGCCAGGGTGGGGCCTTCCCTGGAGCAGCAGCACCCAGGCCAGTCTGCGTGGAGGCCCCATCCTGACACCGTAAGCGCCAGTTTCAATGAGGCCCACTGAGAGCACAGGACTGGCCACTACGTGTTATTTTTGCTTCTCAGAGCATAAAGCTAGTTCTGATCATACTTGAGAGATCTCTGGGAACACGGGAGCAGGGGAGAAGCAGCTTTGTTTCCTCAGTAAAGCCAACCACATTCCTGGAACTGATCCTAAGGAAGAAGACCCAGAATAACTAATGGAAACTCATGCTACCATTGCAGATTAACAACAACCTTAGACACTTGGATGAAATGTCCTGGAGCCACGTGTCCATGTGCATTTTGAATGGTGGTGGCATTCGGTCTCCCATTGATGAGCGGAACAACGGTATGCCCCCCAGGCTCGGGGTCCTCGGGCCGGTGTTCTCTCTCTGACCTGCCCACAGCAGCCTCAGCTGAGCTCTGCTGCCAGCCATGTACCACAGAGTCAGTCCCTTCAGCTGAAGTTAACTGCTACTCAAGTCAGTGCCTACCCAGAGGGCATGTGCACACACACACACGCACGCACGCACGTGCGTTCTCATATGTATTTGCACACAGAGGCAATAGGCTAGGGTTAGTGGAACCCAAGCTTGATCTAAATTTCTGACTCACAAAGTTTGCCGATTTCTGGAAAATATTGACAGCCTCCATGCTGATATCTGGAAAGGGGAAGGCAAAATTGTCTTCTGTGCTGGAAAATGTACCACTGGATTAAGTCTTTGTAGTGCATTTACAGATATCCAGGGTTATATTATAGGGTGAAATAAAGCAGCTAGACAGCTACTCAAGACACTCTGGCTGTCTTCCCTGATATACAGTCAAAACCAGTCCGTTATGGTGTAAGCCCCAAGTTCATGTCATTGTTTCAATCAGGGATGGGCGGCAGGGAATACTGCCCCTCTGGAGGACCTAAGCAGTGCTTAACGCTCACTGCAGATTCAGCCTCAAGCCAGGAGACCCAGGGCAAAGCACAGGTGATTGCGGAGCCACAGCCTTTCATAATCTCCTGCCATCTTGCTCAGCGGTGGAGGGCACAGCCAAAGGCCTCTTGAATCTACTCCCTCCCTAAGTGTCAGGAATCCCTTAGACAGAGCTGACGCTGACCTGCATCCCCCTCACCTCCTCCACCAGTCCGAAAGAAAACCGGTCTTGGGGTAAGCTCGTTCTCAAGATATTTTCCTTCTTGCCTCATCTGTGACTACCCTCAGGCACAATCACTTGGGAGAGCCTGGCTGCTGTGTTACCCTTTGGAGGCACCTTTGACTTGGTCGACTTAAAAGGCTCCACCCTGAAGAAGGCCTTTGAGCACAGTGTGCACCGCTACGGCCAGTCCACTGGAGAGTTCCTGCAGGTGGGCGGTAAGTCACCTCCGGGTGAGGTGAGATATCCTACTGGTTGGCTTAGCTCCCTCTTCATCAGGACCTCTTGGCCAGGCTTGTTCAGGTTTCCACAAGCCAACACTGGTGCAGTCTTTTAATGCACATGGACTCCTAGACCACGAAGATCAGGTCAGTGTCAAAGCCCCAAGGGCCTGGCAGTGGGCAGTATTTACCGAGTCTGATTGGGACATCAGATGGACCCTCTGCAGGAGCAGGCCCTCCAACCTCTAAGCAGATCAGCTGCTGTGAGTATTTTCTATTAAAATCTTAGTCTAAACATTCCATACTCCTTGTAAAATAAAAAAATCCCTTCTGTGTTCTAGTCATAAGCGTCTGTAACCCTTCAGAGGTTCAAAGGCATGCAGCATCCAATCAGTTATTAACAGGGATCATTTCTGTGGGGGGCAGCCTGCTGCACAGACACACTTGATCATTGAAGTTAAGGGGTTCAAACTGGGCATGTGTTCTGGTAGGGCTCCAACCCTGGCCTCACCCCCACAGTGGTTATGGTTCCACTGTGACTGGGGACAAGTCTTCAAAGTCTCTGAATGAAGAAAACCTACCCTGCTCATTGCACAAATTCCAGTGAACATTGAATGAAAAGAAATGCTCTCGAAATTGCCAAGGACTTCTGAAATACTTTTGTCCAGAATTCCACAGTCTAATGAATTAACCTTTAAATTAATATTCTTATTTGATCTTGAAACCACATCCTGGCGTTTTTTTTTAACTGCAGCTGGTGGGCCCCCGCTCAATGGGCGTGACTGCTTTGTGGCATTCTCCCTCTACTGTTGGGGTTGAGGGGCTGCAGAAGGTGGTGGGGCCTGGGCCTGCTGTCTGTGGGGTGACCCAAACATTCTGCATGTTTCCAGGAGAGTATAGAGGCAACAGCAGGCTTTGATGCTCTAGCATGGTGCCTGATAGTTGTATGTTTTGTGGAAGTCGCCCAAGGCCAAATTATTACCATTTTGTAGTCTTCAAAATTGTAACAAATGTCCTGTGCTTTTTTCTATTTCTCATTTTCCAAAGCTGTTGAACCAAGTTGCTGTATCAATTCATTCGGAATTTTAAAAAGATGTGGTTTTTCCCCGCAGGTCACTCCTTGCCCATTCTGAGCCAGAGCCAATTTTCCTCCCCGTGGTTCTCAGCTCTCCCAGAGGACTCACCCTAACCAGGAAACGGTAGCTGCAATGTCACTTCAACTTCCTTGCTGAAATTTCACTCAGGCTCAAACTAAATGAAAACCAAGCCGTGTCCCAATTCCAGATTTTGGCCAACATCTCTTTTTTAGAAAACAGAAATTTCCCTTTGGATCCAGTGAAAACAGACTCATTTCTTTTCTAGGAATTCACGTGGTGTATGACCTTTCCCGAAAACCCTGGGACAGAGTGGTCAAACTAGATGTTCTTTGCACCCGGTGTCGAGTGCCTAGTTACGAGCCTCTCAGAATGGATGAGGTATATAAGGTAGTCCTCCCGAACTTCCTTGCCAATGGTGGCGATGGATACCAGATGTTAAAAGAAGAGGCACTACAATATAACTCAGGTAAGCACAAGTGCCTGTTCTTCTCCATATCCCAAAGGTACTCGAGAACAGTGCTGGCCCGAAGAGGGGAGCTACTCATGATGCCAGGACGGTGAAGGCAGAAGCCAGATCTTGTCCCGTTGCCAACTCCCTGCCCTGTGTGCAGGATACAGCCACACAGCACTGGGGAAATGTATGCCTGTCCCTTCCCAGTACATGTACCCAGCCATCCAAGGCCAGGGAAAATGCATTTTTAAATCAAAAATGTTTTAAAACTCTTTTATGGACATATAAACATCTATTTAAATTGTAAAAAATGAATTTTGCACTTTTAGAAAAAAATGTACCTCTAGAACTTTAGGTCGGACATGGAAAATCATCACAGTAAATCATCTCAACTTTCTAAAAGAAGCGTTTAGTGTGAATGGGTCAAGGAGTGCATGGGATATGACCCTGCCATTTCAGCACAGTGCGTAGGTGGAGCACAATGTTATGGGAGCCACACTTGACCCAGTCAGTATTTTTGTCAGCATTTAGGGCCATGGTACACCAAAAATCCTTTTGAGAACCACCTCATGTGCATGAAGTCCACTGAGAGATACACTGCCCCGTCCTCTCTCCAGGGCAGAAGTCAGTGTGCTCACAAGACACACATGCAGCTTCTCTGAATCTTCAGGATGGAGCTCAGCCAGCTTCCTCCTCAGCCTTGCCGCGGCAGACCTGCCAGTCCAGCTGACTGTTCCAAGGCGGGTGGAGCACAGAGTCAGGGCAAAGGAGGCCGCTCTTTCTGGGGAAAAGGGCACTGGCTACTTCTGTCCATTCCATGACATAAGGTATAAAGGCAAGTTTAGAAAGGCGTTCTCTTTAGCCCACAGCCATCAGCCCCCCGTGAGACAAAGAGGCCAATGGCTGTGCAGAACCAGGCCCAGACTGATGGGTGCTGGAAAGAAGGAACTCACACAGAAGGCCGAGGAAGCCTTGGCCCTAACGGCTCTCAACCCTGCCTATACCTTAGAACCACTGGGGGAGCATTTTTAATTCAATACCAATACCTTGTCCCCAACTTTCAAGAGATTATAATTTAATTGGGTTGGGAGAAAACTCTCTTCCAGTGATTCTAATGTCTTCCCAGAGGTGAGACTCAGAGAGGGGTTCTTTTTTAAGTATTAGAGTGATTTTTTTAACTGAGATTTTATTGACATATAACATTTGTTTCAGGTGTATAATGATTTGATTTTATTATACACTGTGAAATCACCACAGTAAGTCTAGTTAATATCCATCACCACACAGTTATAAAAAACTATTTTTCTTGTGATGAGGACTTCTAAGATCTACTCTCATTGCAATGCAGCATTAACTAGTCACCGTACTGGATTGTACATTCCCAAGACTTATTTTATAACTGGACATTTGTACATTTTGATCCCCTTCACCCATCTCTCCCACCCCTCACCCCCCTGCCTCTGGTAATCGCCAATCTGTTCTCAGTACCTATTGGGTTGGTTTTGTTGTTGTTCGAGTACCACATACAAGTGAAATCATACAGTATTTGTCTTTTTTGACTTATTTCATGCAGCATAATGCCCTCAAGATCACCTGTGTTGTCCCAAACAGCAAGATTTTTTATTTTTTTTATGGCTGAATAGTGTATATACAGAGTGGGGCAAAAGTAGGTTTACAGTTGTATCCTTTGAAACGCAGTTTATTCTTGTATTATTGTAATATTTTTCATACAAACAACTGTAAACCTACTTTTGCCCCACCTGTATATACATGTCATAATTTCTCTAATCATTCATCCATTGATGGATACTTAGATTGCTTCTTTTTCATGGCTACTGGAAATAATACTGCAACTCCTTTCTGTTTTTCACCTGTGGGATGCATATTTTTTAAATTAGTGTTCTCATTTTCTTTGGATAAATACTCAGAAGTGGAACTGCTGGATCATATTGTAGTTCCATTTTTAATATTTTGAGGAACAGCAATAAGGTTTTCCATTAGTGGCTCTGCCAATTATATTCCCACCAACAATGCACAAGGCTTCCCTTTTCCACATTCTCACCAACACATTTCTTGTCTTTTTGATAGTAGCCATTCTAATAGGTGTGAGGTGATACCTCATTGTGGTTTTGATTTGCATTTCTGTGATGATTAGTGATGTTGAGCATCTTTTCTTGTGCCTGTTGGCCATCCATGTATATTTGGAAAAATGTCTATTCAAATCCTCTGCCCAATTTTAATCAGATTTTTTTTCCAATGAGTTGTATGAGTTCTATATATATTTTTACTATTAACCCCTTAGCAGGTATATGATTTATAGAGTGGTATTTTTAAAATAAAAGTTTGTCAGGTTCCTATGGGTTTGTCCTAGTAGGCAATTCGTATTTCCTTATCAGTTCTCCTCTTTTGAAAATGAAGTCTCCATTGCCTCTCTAGCAATTATGTGAAAATGACTCTGGAGGAAGCAAGCAAAATGAAGCCACTTGTATGTCTCAACTAATTTCTCTTGACCCAGTTCCCTACAGCCCTCGTTCTAGAGTGGTTTAAAGGCAATGATGTCAACACCTCTTTCCTGAGTCATCTCGAGCTGAGATGACTCTGTTCCCCCAATTATCCAGTATTGAACAATGGGCACATTCACACCCGGAACACAAAAAAGCAACCAAATTCTTGGCACTTATGATCACCACTCTTCTTGTTTTCTGTGACACTACCTTTGCTAATGAAATTAGTATCTTCCCAATTGTAACTACAAAGGACTTTGGAGAAATGCATCTTGTCCCCTCTCTATTAATTGATACCTTTTCTGTAATTAAAATAATGTCCATATTTTTCTAGGTGACCAAGATATCAGCGTGGTTTCTCAGTACATCTCAAAAATGAAAGTAATTTATCCAGCGATTGAAGGTCGGATCATGTTTTCTGCAGGAACTCGTTTCCATGGAAACCTTTCTCTAATGTTTCTCTCAATTTTGGCAACAATCATTGTTTTATACCAATAGCCCAAAACTCTCCTTGCCATAAATGTGTGAAACTGTGTTTTTTCTCAAGTGAGATTCAAGTCTGCCTTTTAGGAACTTTCTTTGTAATGGCACAGACCATCTTCAGAGGCTCCTAGAAGCTGAGCTTAGAAGATCACAAATGAAGACACTGACATCACCATTCAGAATCGACAACTTAGTGAACACACAGGAAAAGAATTTAAAATGAGCCCTAAGAGAGGAAGGCCAACCATCTTTAGTTTACATATTCAAATTTTAAGCTGTTCAGAATACTTAATGGTCTCCTCTATTCCCGGATGACAAATCTCTGCTTTATTTCTGGTCTCTATTTTTCCCCTTTTTAGCCCTGTTGTTATAGCAAGTTGAAAGGACTAAGCCACAGGGTAGTATCCTTTCCTGTGCCACCTATGTTCCTTGGATGAGTCAAGGAACAAATGATGTAGCAGATAATGGGACAGACCAAGTCAAGGGGCAGGGAGGAAGGGAAAGGAAAGACAGGGCACCCAGGACCAATTTTCATTAGAGAACTAAAGGACATAGATTTGTTAAACAAATATTTCCTTAGAGTAGCAGCATAGTGCCTGACACATGGTATTAACTGTTAATAATTTATGAGATTCCATCAGTTCTGCTTCTATGTTCTTTCCTCTCTTCTTAACTTTAAGGTGCCATGAGAAGAGAACCTTCTAAGACAATGTGTAAGTCCAAACTTGCAACCGTCCCTCCCCAGCAAGTGCAAGCACGGCACTTATTCTAGTCATACCATAAACACACACACACACACTCCCTCCCCTAGTTATGGAAAACCTAGAGGGGAGACAAGGGTTGATTTTTAAAAACAGTATACAACAGAAATTTGAAGTCAGCTCTGCCTCCAAATGAGAACAGTCACTTTTAAGTCAGTCTCAAGTCTGGATATGAGAACTCCTGCCTAGGAGTGAGCCCCTCTGAGCAGGTGCTCAGGAAATACCCAGACAGATGAGATGATTCGTGCCCAAAGGCGGTTGTGGGAGCATGTGAAACTGCTCAGCATTGATGAGCCAATGAAAAGTAAAACCTTCACCTTAAAAAATAGTGAGCACCTAAAAGAGAATCTACGGCCACAAAATAAAACCAAACAGAAACTTATGTGGACCATATGGGAGTATGGGAGGAGTTTCTGAGGTGCTATAATATTCCATGTCTGTGTCTGGTCGTTGATCACTCAGGCTTGTTCAGTATGTGAAATCCACTGAGCTGTACTTTGTGATATATACACATTTCCAAAATATTTATACATATTAAAAAGTTAAAATAGGCCCTAGCCAGTTTGGATCAGTGGTTAGAGCATCAGCCCATGCACTGAAGGGTCCTGGGTTCGATTCTGGACAAGGGCACTTACCTTTGGTTACAGGCTTGATCCCCAGCCCTGGTCAGGACATGTGCAGGAGGCAACCAATCAATGTTTCTCTCTCACATTGATGTCTCTCTCCTCTCTCCCCCACTTTCTCCCTTACACTGTCTCTGAAAAGCAATGGAAAAAATATCCTCAGGTGAGGATTTATAAATAAATAAAACATTTAAAAAATAGTAAGCAAACAGCAGCTAGAGGTTTGGAGAGGGAATATGTTTCTTAATGTTTACAAATATTAAGTACTCTTGACAGAAAATATACTTTTCATAAGCTCTTTATAAAGGCTGCTGCAGTAAAATAATGTCCTTAGTTCTATGTATATACACATTAGCTATAAATAATGTCAATAAGATTGTAGGGAAAATCAGAAGTGCATTTGGGGTATATTTTTTACACTTAGTCCATTAAAATAGGATAAATTCTACTGGAGCACAAACTTTAAAGAACATTTTTAAAAGTTTCCTAAATATGTGTGCGTGTATCGTGCAGTGGTTTAAGAAATGACCTCAAAATACTTTGCAATTGCAGATTCCAAACAATAAAATTAAAGATAAGCTCTTTGTCTTTGGTAGTTATTTCTTCTATAGGTATTTCTACACCTATAACCCAAGACAATACGACTAAAGGAAAACTCTGACAATTTATTACAGATATCATTTCCCTTGATCACAGGCCACTTGCTGTCCAATCACCCTCCCCATCCCCCTTCTCACCCCAAAACTGTAAAAAAAAAAAAAGCATGTAATTTTTAGGGAGGTGGGAGGTGAGAAAAGTAAGAATATTCCAAATAAGACTACTATTTTTTCTGGCTTTCATACACAGAATCTGATATAGAAACTGTTTTGAGGCCTATAATGGTTTCTTAAATATAAAAAATGTCCAAGTTAGTGTCGGGGATTTTAATTAATTTATCTGAACTGGTTGTGCAGCTAAGAATCTTCAAGCATACAGATGACACAATAGGCTTTGATCCATCAGACACATTAAATACATTTGGTGGCAGAGCTGCCTTCAGCAGTCTGGAACAGTAAGCTGGGTTTCTTAGAAGAAAGCTTAGGCTGCTAATAGCTGTCCACTAGAAGAAGTTGCTACCTCAGGGTATATGTAGTCCCATAGATGTATGGCTGGGCTTGCCATAATTAGGAAAGGTCCTGGGTTCATTTCATAGGGCTACTGTAACAAAGTGCCACAAGCTGGGTTGCTTAAACAGCAGATATTTACCTCATTTCTGGAGGTTTGAAGTCTGAGAGCAAGTTGACAGGGTTAGTTCCTTCCAAGGGCTTGAGGGAAAATCTGTTGCAGGCATCTCTTCTAGTAAGCTCAGGCACTCCTTGCCTTATAGATGGTATTCTCCCTGTGCTTTTACACGTTGGTTTCTCTCTGTATATGTCTGATTCTGTGTCTAAATTTCCACTTTTTATACGGACAATCATTGAATAAGGTCCACTCTAATGATTTCACTTGAATCATCTTGTAAAAACTCTATTTCCAAATAAAGTCACATTCATAGGTACTGGGGGTTTAGGACTGAAACCCTGCCACAGTGATGCAGGCATTCCCTGGTCCAGGGACTCAAGGGTCTGCAACCTGGTATGCAACCCACTGTAGGCTCTTGGCTTCATGCAGGAAAGAATTCAAATACAAGCCAGCATAGAGTTTAAAGTGAAAATGAGTTTATTAGTGAAGCAGTGAGACAGAGAATGAGCTGCTTTGCTTCCTTTATTGAGGTTCACTTAACTGAGGGCTAGGGCATTCAATAAAGGAGAGGAATATTCAGGATCTTTCTGGGAAAGGGGTGAAGATTTCTCAGAACTCCATACTGTGTCCTTATGTGGGCTTTCTGTTTCCGATCATGGCAGCTCAAGATGTGTTGTTTAGCATGCTAATAATGTATTACAATGAGCATATAATGAGGCTAGGGTTACCATGAGGTGAAATTAGTTACTATGTTGGATTGAGCTGGTCTCTGCCAGTTTTAAGCCATAAATCTGGTGAGGGGTTGTCTTACTATCTTAGGTAGCTTTTATTGATTGCAGCTGTTTCACCACATACCCTATCTCAACAGGATCTCAACATATTTTCAAGAGACAGGAATCAACCCATAACAGTTCCCTGGTACGATCTACATAATTAGCTGGGTAGCCCTGAGACAACCAGCATCTTCTGTGTCCTCTATTATTTTGAAAATGAAAGATTATAATTAATCTAATTTTTATGCTGATAAAACAGGACTACAGCAAATCAAAAGGAATCAGTTTTCCTCTCTAATGCAGTCAAAAGGAGAAGCTTTAAACTTTTATAACAAATTGGGAGATCTCAAATCTCCAGTGAGTAGTACTAAGACCTCTAAGAACCTGAATAAAATACTTCATGAAAGTTAGCAAGTAAGTTAGTCAACAAATAAGCTAGTTAGGGTACAAAAACAATTTAACTCTGACCCATGATGAGGATGGTTAGCATATTAAAAGCAACAAAGGAAATTACAGGCTCATTATTCATTAGGATTCTTGGTTACAAAACAAACAAAATGTCTGTAAGCACAGATATATCAGGACATTAGCTAGTTCCCAGAACCATCAAGAAGCATGGAAAGCCAGGCCTGGAAAATGGAGAACAAGTAAGGAAAGTGAGGCCTGGCTAAAATCCTGCCTCAGGGACAGTCTTCCTACAGCCTCCTTGCTGGATTCACCTCCACTGCAGCTACATACACAGGGGCCTCTCGCTGTGCTTGTGCCTCCATTCTGAAGGGAGCAACTAGGGAGCTGAGCTCAACTATCTTTCATAAAGATAGAGGCTGAGTGAGGATTTAACCCCAGCCATTTGACTTCCATCATGAAAATCAATGCCCTCTCTCCAAATAACCTCGGAATTCCTCCAAATAAAGATGTTCCAATTCTGGACAATCAAAAATGGGAAATGGCACCTATGAAAACTCTGAGAAATTTCAAGTAAACAAACATATATGAAATAATGTTAAGAACAAAAACACTACCTTCTAAGGCTGTTCTGAAAACTACACTGAGCTCTTAACTTTCTCTCCAACAATGTTCATTCACATGTGTGATATCCAGATTTTTCTGCCATTATCTCACCTCACTCACCATGTCTAGCCACACTGATCTTGCTATTCTTCCTACAAAACAGGCATACTCCAAGTCAAACCTTTGCACTTGCTTATTTCTCTTCTTGGAACACGGGCCACCAAATATCTGCATGGTCCTGATTTCTCACCTCCTTCAGGTTTTTTCTTCAATGTCTCATACTACACTATTTAAAATTGCAACCCTCTACTTATACCACCCTATTTCCTTTCTCAGTTTATTTTTCTCTGAACACTTACTTTCTAATATACTGTACTATTTATTTATTTATTTTGTGTATTGTGTCTCCCTCAGTTTGAATGTACACTTATAAAGGCACAAATGTATCCCTATCATCTAAAACTGGCACATAGTGAGTGCTCAATACACATTTGTTGAACTGAATGAACTGTGCATAATTCCCTCTCATACCTCTGTGCCACTCTCCTCACTCAGATGAAAAGCAACACAGTCCTTTTCTCCAGCATCATCTCCTCCAGAGAAAACAAAATAATTTCTCTATCTAAACACAAAACAAACAAACAAAAACATCCTTTTTATTTTGCAGAGCAGTTGGAATCCTTTATTCTAACCCTTGTAAAACCAAAAGACCAATTAACTCTTCCCCAAGAAGGATGGTTGCCTTTCTCCAAAGATTAAATTTTGTAGCTTCCTTCCCCTACTCCCTAACATGAAGGTGATTACAAGTCTTCTAACAGTATCCCCCCTTCTCTTCCCCTTTTGTCCTACACCAGGATTAACAAACTATAGCCTGAGGGCCAAATCCTGCTTGCCACTGCTTAATGTAAATAAGGTTTTGTTGGAATACAATCACATCCATTATCTGGAGTGAAACAATACTTTAATATAATTTTATAGAAAAAAATAATACATATCAAATTAATAAAAATTAGTGAAAC